GTAGTGTTAAAATCATCAGAGAATATTTCATAAGCAATTCTCTCAGCTTGCGTACGTCCTTGGAATAGGGTTGCATCGTTAATGCCACAAATGACCATATTGTCATGAACGGTGAAGAGAGGAGGGATGGCGGCCATGTTGCCTATATCAATGTCATACATCGTATTGTTAGTTAAAGTTTTCGTTTTTGTTTTTTGTTTTTTTTTGTTAAAGGCTACAGTTTTTGTTGGTGTTGCGGCACCCATCAAAGGCTACAGTTTTCGTTGGTGTTGCAGCACCCATCGAAGCAGTTTTCGTTGGTGTTGCGGCACCCATCAAAGCAGTTTTCGTTGGTGTTGCTGCACCCATCAAAACAGTTTTCGTTGGTGTTGCGGCACCCATCATTTTGCGTTGGTGTTGCGGCACCCATCAACGCAGTTTTCGTTGGTGTTGCAGCACCCATCGAAGCAGTTTTCGTTGGTGTTGCGGCACCCATCAAAGCAGTTTTCGTTGGTGTTGCAGCACCCATCAAAGCAGTTTTCGTTGGTCATCACAGTGTTACATCACCAGTGATTGCAGTTTTCGTTGGTGTTGCGGCACCCATTCATTATAACATTTGCCATTGGTGTTGTGTCACCCATCATAGCGTTCGTAGTACGCTCGATGCCGTTTCGTGGTCGTTGTAGTTTTCATTTTCATTTTCATTTTTGTTCGTTGAATAACTTTCAGCAGTTATTGCTGGATCTGATAAACCATGTAAATATTATCGTCACTGTGTTACGATATTGTTGCCTTACGAAGTAGTAGCTATGGTAGACGGTAGACAGTATTGTAATCAAACGTATTCTTAAAAAGAGTGTGTTCATCATTCATCGACAGCTTTCGTAAGCAGCCGATTTATCCTTAGGCGGAAAGTTATCGAACCAAAAATGATGCATGCAGCGTGAATTTTTCCACGCTGGACAGTTACTTCCGGGTACCCCCATTGAGCTGCATCCATTTTGGCTCAAGCTGGACGATTGTCCATGCACGGTGCATTTTGAAATCGAACGATTTTGATTGGCCAATTCTCAATAATGGTTTCGAAGACCTCAACTCACAATTCACATCAAAATAAGAAAAGACTTCATAGCACTTGATTTTCTGCTCTTTTCACTAGTTTATCATGACTAATGCCGGGTCAATTTTCGCACTAGACTCTGATAGCGAGGAAGATGATAACCTTCATCACAACATTGGTTTGAACAAACAAAAAAGTAGCGCCAAAGGATTGCCACCCAGTGGCCAAAATACTGCCTCCAAATTTGTCGGTAGAAGAGTTTGGGCCAAAGTTGCAGTATCACATTCGAATGGCTTTTGCAGCATCCGAAACTGCAAACATGATTCTCTCCATCCGAACCATGCTTGCATTCAATGTAAATGCGGAGTCCACAATTTGTGTGTACAGGAAAGTATGTTGATGTCAATTAGCAAGGAAGACGGTCACTGGTACTGTTCCAAGGAATGCGGCGGAAGCGACGTTGCAACACACGATGTGGGAGTTCGACAAGTAGCAACACCAACTACAACTACAACTACAACACCAACTACAACTACAACAGCAGTTGCAGCAACTACAACAACAACTACAACACCAAGAAGTACTGACGGAGCTAAAATTCAAGAAGAGAATTTACTAGCAGCCGAATTCGAAGACTGTGTAGTTGATCCTGTTGCAAGAAACCAATATACCAAGAAAAAGATCGACCTTACCAGACTTCGGTCCATTGCAGGATATACAGTGAGAGATACTTCTGTTGACCTAATGCGGAGATTTGTGTGCAGAAAGCTGACTGCTAAACAAGGCACTGGTCGAATGGGGAAAGGAGCTCTTTGTGACTTGATTGCTACCAAAATAGAAGATCATCAAATTGCAAAAGCAAATGGAACTCTGGACACTCGAACGAAGGTGAGTTGTAATATGTACGGAATAGACTGAAACGGCAAGATGTGTGCATCTACTCAGACAAAACTGCTATTTATCAGTTGCAGAAAAAGACGGCCGCAATCAAAATCGTGAAAAAGTGGTGTGCCAAACGGCTTGTCAATGTAATCGTGTCAAACAAAATGCGCAACCAACTTCACCGTCGAAACGAATCTATTACAAGAGAAGAGGGAATCATCTGAGGAGCTTGAGGAGTTTTTTGAAGACTCTGATGACATGGATGATTTCAAGCTTGAGGAGGGATTTGAGGAGCTTGATGAATCCGATGACATTGATGAGTCTGAGCTTGAGGGATCGGGTGACATGATGAGCGGTAGGTACGACGCTCAGCTATCAGAATTCGTCGTTGGTTATGATACCATGCAATTCACCATAACTGTACTTATTCTGCCAAAATAAAATTATAGTACGAAAGTAATTGATATACGACCAATACGACTACCATATGGATGAGGTGCATGCATGCACGATTGTTCCGGTTTCGCGCTATCGACTTTAAACACGCGTGCAGGGTGCAGCAAAAAAAATGAAATGCACTGCACGCTGCACGCTGGACGCGAAATGGGGTTCGATAACTTCCCGCCTTACTACCCACAGACCGTTTACAATCGTACACGTTCGTATCAGTACGGCGCATCTTGCATCCTATAGCACAGTCACCTTTATTTGCACACACACACCACAACCAGTATTACACGACCCAAAACATGACCCAAAAAGCATAGTGCAGTAGGTCGAAGCACACAGGACGATACAAGTTGACCCAAAAGAGTAGCCAACAACAAATATGGTATGTTGCAGCATATGATAAAAGTTGACAAAAGAGTAGCCAACAAGAGTAGCCAACAAGAAAGACCCAAACAGTGCAGTATGTCGCAGCATAGTACTGTGCTTGTTGACCCAACAAAAGCGTAGCCAACAACAAAGTATAGTATGTCGCAGCATACTCTAAAACGTTGAATAAAAACCCAACTCCCAAGACGAAGGACCAGATATAGCAACCCCCTTACTCCCCGAAATACGTGTGTACAACGACTAAGATGAGGACTGATCCTCCCGTTCTGACCGTCGTACCGCAAAGCACCTAGTCAATCTTTGGACCTGGACGCAACTGTCAGACACTTGAAGCCGCTCACCAGCAACCTGGACGTCAGAGAGAATCCTGCAGCCCGATTTGCAATTGGGTTAGATGACGATTTTTCTTTGGCTACCTTGTTCGGTGCCAGCAGCCATTCATCAAGAAGAGGGAGGTGAAAACAGACCAAGATGAGACTTTACAACAGAGTCGCCTAAATGGAAGAAGAGGGGACATAACGTGACTGACTGGACTGCCGAGTCCCGGGCAGATATATTAGAGCGATCGAAGGCCAACGATCGTCGCCAATCTCAAGCCCAAGATCAATCATCTATCATCTACTCACAGCTGCTTCAGACCCCCGTAAATACACCCCAATATCAATATCAATCACCGTCTATCATGTCCAACAGTAGCTACATCAATGCACTAGTACGCTCTCTCCACGATGAGAGCCAGGAGCACAACGTTGTCACGTTAAGGGGGATGTTAGGTCCAAGCTCCATACGGCCCTAGCAGTTTCCCTTCGTCTTATCAAACGACTAAAGACCTTGTCTTAAGGACCAACCTTATCCCTCGATGATGAGGAAGCGCTGTAGATCCCCTAGGATGACTTTGAGCTGCCCTGAAGAATGGGATAGTCGGTTGGCAACTGAAATTGACTGGTACTACATGAGGTAATAGATAGATCCAACGATAGGAACTGATTTTTCAATCTTACAGATATAGCACTACTATGTATTGTCGAGTATCGTTCAGACTTCTCTGATGGTAGAGTGAAATCAACTGCTGATACCGGTATAGGTAGGTACTACTACTACTACTACTACTAGTACTTGGTAGTAGTCTCTTCACCTTTGGAATCAAGTCATTGTCTCAAACTGGTGCAAAAAGGTTGATTGTATTGCCATCAGAGTAGAATATACAATACCTGAATCTGAAAGCATCATCTATGACTACACAGCATGCGCTCAAATTCTCACTGAGGATCGCAGGGATATCATCTGGATCAAATAAAATTCATTTTCAAAAATCAAAAAACAAACATCACGCATTTTGCAAAAAAAAAAGTCATCTTCTCTAGTACTTTATCCACGCAATGACCGTGTAGCGACACCGGTTTTGCTGTTAAAAGTGCTTGATTGAGGACTTCAACCATGGGCTCTGATGATGATGATATATATATATATATATAACTGAATCATTAATTGGTTTTTATGCTACTTCTAGAGTATCCAACTGCCGGTGTAATACGGCTGTAGAGGCCAGGAACTATGCTGCTTTTAGTCAGATAAGTTTGAAC